TCTTGAGCCACTCCTCCACCGTGATGTCGTTGCCCAGCTTGTCCTTGGCGTAGGTCCCGCCGCCGGCGTTCCCGGAGCTGCGTGCAAAATCAACGGGCCGGGGTACTATTCGTTAGTTGCTGGCCGGCTGGCCGGCCGGTAACATGTACGATATATAGTGAGCCGCTACTCGCTAGCTGTTGATGCATGGGTACGTGAGACGACACGACTCACCCGGCGGGGACGAAGAAGGCGCCGTAGGGGACGACCATGCCGACGGTGGGCAGCGAGATGGCGCCGAGGAGGAGGAGGTTCATCAGATTCCGCTTCTCCATGTCGGGGACGCGGTCGGCGGGGATGCTGCTCGCCGCCTGGCACGTGATGCTCCGCTGGGCGCGCTCGCGGCCCATGCCCAGGCCAAAGCCCCTTCACCGGCTTGCCCAGCGAAGCGCGGGACCGGCAGAGCTGCCATTGTAGGCACGGACATCATATACATATACATGCAAATAAACCATATTATGCGATTCAGATGCAACTTTGGTGGGCAAGATTGAACGGCTAGTAAGTAGTAACGCCATGGACAGAGACTCTGTTTCTCCTCGGCCAAACTCATGAGACAAGGGTCAAGGCCAGGAGAGGGAAGCGCCCCGCGGCAGAAGAAGGAAGTTGCTGGCTCACCTGGGTGGGGTTGGCGGCGGTGGAGAGCGCCGCGGAGGTCGCCATGGCTGCAGCAGCTGAGGGTCGGTCGGGGTCGGGCAAGACGGCTGGTGCTCACTCGCTGGTGCCTATATGACTATATCTTTGCCCCGGGTCCGGGTGCCGGGGGGAGAGAGAGGGGGCCGGTGATTGGTTGATGCGCAGCGACGGGCCTGCGAGGTGCGAGCACCACATGTTCGAGGCTGTGGCACACTCGCGTGCGCTCGATCTGCGTCTGGCGCGGCGTGTATCGGTATTCATTCAGTACGTAAGGGATAAATCGGGTTCATCATCATCAGTAAATAATAAATATCTTAACAAGGGTACCCTAATTATAACCAGCTGTTATATAATCACAATTCACAAAGGAATTCGCAAGATACTCTATCAGCGACTCACCATGGTTAACTAAATCTACGACTCTCTTTATTTCTTTTCTATCTCTATCTAACTATCTATCCCCTCGTAACATTTATTGACAAATTTTTTTCGAGCGAGCCTGCTCTTTGGAAAGAATGGCTGCCGAGATTTTACTAACCTTTCGATGGCTGCTGAGATTTCACTTACCTTTTGATGATCTAGATACCTTTGGAGTGTGATTGACAACGAACTAGATACCTTCCGCTCCATCACCAAAGTAGAAGTCCACAATAGGGTCATTGCTTCCTTTTGGAAAGATCATTGGCTTCCTGATGGCCTCATTGTCATCTCACACCTGACCTGACGTCTCAGTAGTGAAGTTTTCCAGAGCGGGTTTGATTTGTACTTACGTACTCGGCTAATTGGGTGTTGCTTGTTCGGAGCATGCAAATCTCCTACTTTTCTTTGCAGAGCGGGTTTGATTTGTACTTACGTGCTCGGCTAACTGGTGTTGCTCACTCGGAGCATGCAGATCTCCTACTTTCCTTGCAGGGTGTTTACCTCGACGGCTCTAGTTACCTCAGTCTGTTGCTGCTCACCGGTAAGCGTTTCAAGACAAGAGACGCGAACACTGCTCTCCAAGCTCAGGAGAGAGAGATCCCTAGAACAAAATGATTTGGGAGTCAGTATTCCCAAACACAGTTAAAATTTTCTCCCGTTGTACTTCAAGGATATACTGAGCACCCGCCAACCTCTTCTACAAGAACGTTCTTGATGACGACAAGTTTCGTAGGTGCAACAACAACATCGAAGACATGCATCATGTGTTATTTGAGTGCAATTCCATCTCCACACTCTAGACCTTGCTGGGGCCTCCCGTAGTTGGAACGATTATTGATGATGGAATCTGGAGCCTCTGCATCACCCACACCCTTTAACACCAGGCTATGGTCCTCTATCATGCTTACCATTCTCTGGCGCCTATGGGGTGCAAGAAACGGAAAAGCATTTCGCGCGAACACTCATCGATAGTCTGAATCATCAACCAAAGTGGATTTTGGTCCTCTCTGGTTTTCCTAGAGCATATAAGGTTTTTTATAGAGCTCCTCTAGATTTTTTTATGGAATTGTTCCATGCAACTCCACTAGGAAAAAAAGTGGAATTGTGAGTTCTGTGTGGATTTTGGCCCCTGCAGTTCTGCAAGAATCCCATGCACATCTGGTCCGACCTGTCTCAGCCCATCCACAGCTGGATTTGTACGAAGCATCCTATAAACGGAGATTCACCTGTTCGCTTGACCGTATCAGCTATGCTTATCAGTCATGATACAGTGTTTTTCTCTGACAACAAAACAGCATCAGCCGCCTTATAAGCCACAGAAACGATTAAGCGAACAGGGTGAATAGGGCCACGATCTTGTCCTAGGAACAACTAGGACCCATTTCTACATACTGAGGAGGCCCATATATGCCCTTGTTTTCTCTGTGGGTTTGTAGACGACTTGCGTGAACAATTTTTTTTAGTCTCCATCGATAAACTATTTTTTCTTTTCTCTATATTTGTATAGTTATTTCCAAATTCCAATATTTTTGTTTGACCAATGAAATTTTGACGCTCTAGCAGGGGCCTCTACCCAAATCTGACTAAAAAAGGTACATCATGCACCTTAAATAAAAAGAATTGAAAATTTGTTTGACAAAATGAGAAAGAAATCAATCAAGGAAACTCAGATTGTAGACCGTTTTTAGGATTTCGGCCCTGTTCATTTCGCTGAAATTTGGCTACTACTGATGCTGATGCTAATTTGTTGTTAGAGAAAAATACTATTTCTTCGCTGAAAAGTACTGCCAAACAGTTTGCACAAATAATTTCGCATTTCTTGCTATAGCTCTGCTAACTGATGGTTAAAATTAATTCTAGCCGACGAGCCTAGTTTGTCAACCGCGTCACATCAAATAGGTCCATATTTGGCACCAGCTTTACCTAGGTTAGAGTTAGAGAAGCCATATTTTTAAGTGACTTTACCTTTATGGTAAAAAACGCCTCCTTCCCATTACAACTTTTCTTTCAAAGCCGTTTTTGGAGTTAACATTTGGCAAGATTTTGTCAATAAACTAGAGAAGTGGGAGATGAACTCCCTAGGTACAATGTCTCGTTGGTGGTCTCATGTAGTGCCATATAATTTTAAGACGACTTAATAATAGATAATAACATATACAATGATTGTCTTTTAAGCTGTCTCATATTTACCCATAATTCTTTAATTCATGCGTAGAATAAAAATAAAGTTGTGAGTTGCATGACAATAATAACTCATACATTGTTACAATAGTTGTCTTATAATCCAAAGTTTTAGCTTATGAGAGGGTTGTTTCATGAAACAACGATCTCTTTCTTTCTCTCATCTCTTTTTTCCCTTCATATCATAAAATATCCTATATGACACTACATGAGACGGAATATAATACCGCTATTGTGATTTAGATGTGAAAAGGCTTTTCCAAAAAAAATGTGAAAAGGGCATAAATTCAAATAAAGCCAAGAAGAATTGCTTTCTAGTAATTTAGATGTGACCAGCTCGCTAGCTGAATCAAATAATATAGAAAATATCTTGCTATTAGAAGTTCTGCTCTCCTTTTTTTCCCTGAAAAAAATGGTTTCTTTTTGGTCGCTCAATCTCATGTTTTTTCCCGGTGTTGCATTTGCAGTTGAAGATCATGAGACATCCCTGTTAAATTAGCTGCTTATAGCTAGAATTCTCTCTGTTAAATGGTTCAGGTGACGTGATTTTGCACCCTACTCTACCAAAGCAATTTCACCCGTTAATGAGAATAGACAGTAGACACCTGCCTGCCGCTGAAAAAAGATCCAGAAATCGAGTATCCTGTTCAGACATTAGTCGCTGTTTCATTAGGTGTTTGGTTTCTCCTCCTAAACTTTAGTGGTTGTTTTATTGGATGTTTGGACGTATACATGGAGTATTAAATATAGACTAATTACGAAACTAATTGCACAGTTTGCGACTAATTTGCGAGACGAATCTTTTAAGCCTAATTAGTTCATGATGGGACAATGTGGTGCTACAGTAAATATGTGCTAATGACGGATTAATTAGGCTTAATAAATCCGTCTCGTAAAGTACTGACGAATTCTGTAATTTATTTTTTTATTAGTATCCAAATACCCCATGCGACACCCTCACATGACAACTTCTAAATTTTAGTCACTGGATCCAAACACCCCTTAGAGAGAGGTTCAGGGCCTGTTTGGTTTCTACGGGAGCTCCTAAAATTTCTGTCACATTGAATGTTTGGACACATACAAGGAGTATTAAATATAGACTAATTACAAAACTAATTGCATAACTTGCGACTAATTTATGAGACGAATTTTTTAAACATAATTAGTCCATGATTTGACAACGTGGTACTACAGTAAACATATGCTAATGACGGATTAATTAGGCTTAAAAATTTCGTCTCGCAAATTAGCCTTCATCTATGTAATTGATTTTGTAATTAATTTATATTTATTACTCCTTATTAGTATCTAAACATTCAAAGTGATATGAATTTTAGAAGCGACTAAAGAACAAACACCCCCTTTGTTACTAATTTAGAAGCGCGTTCAAGGAACAGTTTCACACTGAGTGGATCGAAAGCAGCGCAGCAGCGCGCTCCATGCATCAATCAAACAGCTCGCCGTCGCAGGGACAGAAATGAAGCACAGAGCAGTCAAGAACCAATGAACCAAGCTCAATAGAATCCGTTTCGGCTTTATGAATTCGCCTCGCCTGCTCTAATCCTATTCCAATCTATGTATGACAACAATAACCAAGGAATTGGATCCGCTGGGCATCCAGCAAGATCTTTATGAGAAAAAATATTTTTTTGAAAGAAATTATGAGAAAAAAATAATCAAAGAATGGTGCGCCATTTTGCCATCTCCCGGCCCCGGCGGCGCAGCTATCTGAACCCCATCCTGAGCGAGTGGCTTCCCCGTTTCACGGTGACCCCGTCCAAAGCGCCACCAGCGCCCGGGCGCACGGCCTCCGGCAGCGCCGCGTCAGAGCGCGCCAGCAGGACGGCTGTCGACGGAGGCGGGCACGGGGCGGTGACGAAGAGCCGGGTGATGTCGCGGAGGGGCGACCGCCGCCGCGGCGCCTTGCTGCCCCCGCCCGGTCTCTTCATCGTCTGGCGCTTGACGGCGATGCCGCGCGCGGCGGACGGCGGCGGCGCGTTCTCCTTGTCGTCGCTGCCGCAGCCGAGACTGAGAACGGCCATCTGGGATGGATGCCTCTGAGATGCGGACGGAGGTTGGGTGTAGGTGGGAGGTGGAAGCGAGGAGGGAGGAGATCTGTCGTGGAGAAGAAGAGGGACGGGATGGCTGAGCGCCTGAGCAGGAGGTGGTGCTCGCTGGTTGTATTTGTAATGGGTCAAGGGTGGGTGGTGGAGGAAGACATGCCGCCCGCCATGGCTCTGAAATTTTGAGCTTGGAGAGAAGAGTTTTGCGAGGGAGGGAGGGAAGCCATGGATTAGATGCGGAGGGTGTGTGCTTTCCAGATTTGGATTCGACGAAGGTATGGGTTCCCGGGCTAGAGCGAGAGAGAGAGAGAGGCTGCAAAGTTTTCTGTTTTTGGTGCGGCGCCAGCTGCCTCGCGGGCTCGGCCGGACGCTGGGGAAGGTTCGAAATTTTTCTGCGCGCTGTGGGCGAGACTTCCGAGGATTTGCGCCAAATTTGGGCGCGCCCGGCTGCACGTGACTGACTGATTGGCGCCGATGCTGATTGATGCCCGTCGCCCGTGAGTGACAAGACAAATTCTTTTTTTTTGCGCAAAAGTGACAAGACAAATTCTAAAACCTCATACCCAATCATCACCTCTCTCTTGGACGAGCAAATACTCCTTCCATTAAAAAAGAAAATGCAATTCTAGATCTTTTAGAATGTGGGATTTTTTAACTTTATTTTACTAATATGAAATTCAAATGATTTATGCGAAATTCGTATATGATCCTAAAAGAATTCATGTGTTCCAAAGGCCTCTAGATCTAGTATAAGTCTATTTACGGTTTGACTAAATTTATAGAATATAATAATAGTATCAGTCATTATGATTCCAAATAGCTAATAGTATTATGAAAATGTATTATATGATTAATTTAATTATACTTATCTAATGTCATAAATGTTAGGACTTGTTTGGATGATAAATTCAAAAAAGGAGAATCAAGAAACTATGGTTTTATGCGAAAGGGTCTATAGCCTAATAGTTATAAGAGCCTTAGTAGCACATTAGATCCTAGGTTCGACTCTCCATGGGAACAAATATTCTAGGATTTAATTGGCGTTGTGCTTTCAGTGGTACGCGATGTTCCCGTTAACAGCGAGACGTCTGTGATGACTTATGATCATAAGGGTAAGGCTTATGTGCGTGCGTTTATAGGGGTGAGTGTGCGCATGGTAGGACATGCTATGAATTCAGCAACATTATCCATTTAGATAAATTGAGGGCCTGATTAGTTTGCTTCCAAAATTTGTCATGCCAATGATTTGGCAAGCCATGATTTTGGCTAGTATTTAATTTACTATCAAAACTTGCCAAACTCTCATTTGGCTTGCCAAATCTATGGCAATGTTTTTGCCCAACTTTTGGCTTGTCAAATCTTTGGCATGACAAATTTTGGATGCCAACCAAGCAGGCCCTGAATCCGATGTTTAGAATAATGTACCTTCAACTTCATAAGTTAGGACATCATTTTAGAAAAGGCATGGTTGTGTACGGACAAAAGGCACATGTGAGACCATCTAGTGGGGATGCGTCTATCAAAACTACGAAGTACATGATGGCACAGATAGAGTGGTTTAGCTTTGATTTTAAGATATAATGGTCTTAAAATCAATTTTCCAACTGCACAAGCAATGGAACAAAAATCCTTAGATAGTGGGAATTTTACATTTTTTATAGCATGACCAATGGAATAGCCGATAATTTTGCTCATCGTCCCAGTTCTAGGGTGCCCAAATCGATCATGCCAAGTTTGGAATGCATCGACATGTTGGAAAATTATCTTATAAGCAACAAGCTGTATGGGTTTAATGTTTGTATAGTATAATCCAGACCTAGTGAAAGATTTTTTTTTCAAAAACTTGTTTGCCATTGAAAGCATCTAGGCCCCCAGTTGGGTTTCAGTGAGTAATGATGACACGAGATTACTATGACTAATGTGTGTTTTGCAGAGGCAATTTGAGTTAGGTCATGGTAATGGAAATTGATTGGGCAATCATGTTTGTCATGCCCCTGTCAATGGAAATCATTTTGGTTTTCAAAGAATGGACGACAAAGTTAAGGACGGACTAGTTCTAAGTGTCATTTGGTGTTGGAGAGACACTTAAAGTAGTTTGAGACTTTATTTTTCCTTTGGCCGTACTATTAAGGGGGAGTATGGATTAGTAGCTTAACCTAGGTGAGTCTAATGGATTAGGTGTGATGTGCACTTATCAAACTTAGCACTAGGTAGCTCAGGAATAGCCCTAAGATCGATAGAAGTCAACTTCATTCACAAAGAATTTTGAATTGGAAGTGAATAGAGAGTCAAATGACTGACCGAACGCTGGTTTGGTTGTGACCGGACGTAGCTTGGAGAGTCCGGTCAGTTCATTTGATCGGCAGCAGTTGTTAGAGTGCGACCGGACGCTGGACACCAGTGCTCATCGAACGCGACGCTAGCCGTATCTATAGCAGCGTGGACAGGCTGTTGACCATGGACCGGACGTTGAACAGAGAAGTGACCGAACTCTGGGTGCCAGCGTCCGGTCAACATCAGTAAGGTTCCAGAGAGGGTTTTTGATGACCAGACGTGTCCGATGGGTGCTGACCGGACGCAGGTCATAGTCCGGTCAGAGCTTAACGGCTCTCTCTAACACAGTGGCGGGTACAACTGACTGGAGCATCTGGTCACCCTGACCGGAGCGTTCGGTCAGCCCGTAGAGTGATGACTCAGCCTCCAAACGTTATGTTTTGAATGAGAGAGTATAAATACTTACTCCACTCATCTATGGGAGGTTTCTTGCCCATTTGTTCAGCTGAGAAACACCTTTGGAGTGTAAGGGAGAGAAAGAGCCTAGTGAGGTGATTGAGATTTGATAATCCAAGATTAAGGACCTCATTAGTGCATAGGGAGTAGCAAGTGTGCATCCACCTTACTCATTAGGCTTGTCTTGGTCAAGTGAGAGTTTGTGCTTGTTATTCTTGGTGATCGCCATCACCTAGACGGCTCAGTGGTGATTGGGAGCTTGGTGATCATCCGGCGGAGCTTGTGGATGACCCAATTCAAGTTGTGAGCGGTTGTAGGCGATTTACTACGATGGAGTGTCAAAGAATCAGCCCATAGAGAGCACTTGATCCTTGCGCGGATCAAACGGGAGCTACACCCTTGCGCGGGTGCTCCAACGAGGACTAGTGGGGAGTGGCGACTCTCCAATACCTTGGGAAAACATCGCCGTGTTCCTTTCCCTCTCTTTACTTTGAGTATTTACATTTGAGTAATTCATTTCTTGTCTTTACATTCCTAGAATTGCCTTGCTAGAGTAGGATTGAAACCTAGGGTGCAAAACTTTTGTACGGGAGAACAATAGAATCACTTTTTAGACATAAGGGGTGAAATGGGCTAAGTGTAGGGCTTAATTATTGCAAAAATTTAGAATTAGCCCAATTCACCCCTTCTCTTGGGCATCTTGATCCTTTCATCCATATCCAGTGAGCTCAATTAAGAGAAGAAATTCCTCTTTATTGTCCTCATATGTTTTCACATGGAAACCATTCTTATAGATGTCTCTCTAACTTAATAGGGTGCAAGTCGAATCAGGATACAACAAGGCATACTCTATCATTATTTGTGCACCTATAGGGAGAGTGATAATGGGTCTACCTGAACTAACTATTCAATGCATCGCGTCCAATGATGATCATAATATTTCCTTCTGTTTTCTTAAGAGCATGGAAATATTTCATCTCCATAAGTATAGAACTTGTAGTACAAGTGTCCACAAGGCATAACTTCTTATGATTGACATCAAAAGAGACCTATATATATGTAAAACAAGAATTTAATCAAACCCTTATGTAACATATATAATTATACATACACAATATATCGAACATCAAGTACATGAGTACAACATTACAATACCTATGAGTTTGCACAACTTAACAACAACATTGATAAGTGTGTACAACTCTCAAGGATAATGGGTTGGTACCACTCAAAACAACGATGAGTTTGTACAATTTTAATTATTATAATATGTATCATGTGTCATATCAACTAAGGATTGAGATTACACTATCTCCAAACATGTCACTAGAAGCAAAGTCAATAACCATGTCATTCATCCATGGTAGGTTCTCTTCCACATGAAGAGCATTGTTGTTCTCTGATTCCTTTTTGAGCCTGGTTGGAACAACCCACTTCCTGAATAGCCTCAGAAGCAAGATTGAAGTGTGCCTCATATGTTGTTTCTCCTACTGATTTTGCAAATTTTTGGGACTTTTGGTAGAAAGCAACAAGATGCTTAGGAGCACGATAATATTTGGCAAAATGTTAGTAATCACCACATCTATGACATTTGGTGTCATTTCTAGATTTCACATTGTCCTTCTTTCACTTTTGTGAATTAGATCTTTGCCTTTTGTTGTGTTTGCATTTACCGGATTTGTTCCTTGGAAATGATTCATTCAACTTTTTGTTATTCTGAACATTATTATGTAGATCATGAACCTCAGGAAGAGGCATCAAACCAACAAGGCACTTATGATGATTCTTCATAAGAAGTTCATCATGTTTTTAGCCTAAGTCAATACATGATTAAGTTGAGAATAAATCTGGTAATTATTAGCCAGGTATTACTGCTACAATACTCTATCAGCTAGAAGCATAGTGGAGAGTGTTTTTCAGCCTAAGTCAATAAATGGTGAAGAATGGTAATCACCATAAAGATGTAGACCATTTCCAAATATCCAAAAAACTCTATTTTGGGAGAAACACAGTGTAGATAATCATCAAGTTTCAAAGGAAAATGATGTGGACCTCTCAGTAATGGGTGATTAAATCACTACAACTGGCATTCTCTTTGAGCAGAATAATTTAGTACGAACTAAACGCAGCAAATGCCTTGTCATATGCTATTGTGGTCATAGTTGTATAAACAAGTGTACTAATGATCTTACGTTTGCTGTTGTCAAGTTAGTTTTATAAGTCTTCTCGGCTTGATGATGAGCGCACCG